TGAGACCCTGTGAATTGCGCGAATGCGTTCGGTGCTGAGGGTTTCGCGGCTCTGCAAGGGCACGTGCGTCGCGCGGACGTGCTCGGCGCCAGGAGTTGAAACACGCGAATGTGTTCAGCGCCGAGGGCTTCGTGTCACTGCGAGACCACTTGAGACTTGCGGAAGAGCTCGGCGCCGAGGGTTTCGGAACGATTTGAAAGCCTTGAAGACGAGCGGTTGCGTTCGGCGCTGAAGGTTTTGTGGCACTGCGACACCATGTGAGGCTCGCGGATGTACTCGGCGCCGAAGGTTCCGGGGCGATGTAGAACCCTTCGAGACGCGCCACTGCGTTCGGCGCCGAGGATTTCGTTGCACTTTGACACAACGTGAGACTCGCAGGTGTGCTCGGCGCCGAGGGCTTCGGGCACTTTGAGACCCTTTGAGACACCGCTTTGAGACCGCCGTCGAACGCGTCTGGTGTGTGAATGTATCCAACGTCGTGCAGACTTTGAGACTCATCCGACACTCGTTCTTTATAGTACTAGAATAAAAGACGGGCAGTCTCAAGGCGGTTCGAACGCGGACGGGGCCGCCGCCGAGCGGATGGGGCCGCCGCCCAGGCGCGATCCAAGCGGTGCACCATTTTAGTCAACCTTCTGGCCCACGTCGGCTCGACGGGCGTGCAGCGCTGAATGTGACTGATGAAAGTTGCCGTTGATCTGATGCGTGCTCAATTGCTTCCACGCGACAAATTCAGAATTTCGTTTCCAATTTATTCTCGTTCTTACCACCACTACTGCTACTACTACTACTACTACTACTACTACTACCTACTACTACTACTACTACTACTACTACTACTACTACTACTACTACTACTACTACTACTACTACTACTACTACTACTACTACTACTAACTACTAACTACTACTACTACTACTACTACTACTACTACTACTACTACTACTACTACTACTACTACTACTACTACTACTACTACTACTACTACTACTACTACTACTACTACTACTACTACTACTACTACTACTACTACTACTACTACTACTACTACTACTACTACTACGACAACCACAACTACAACTACAACTACTACTACTACTACTACTACTACTACTACTACTAGTACTGCTGCTGCTACTACTACGACTACTACAACTACCACTGCGACGACTACTACTACTACTACTACTACTACTACTACTACTGCTATTATTACTACTATTACTACTACGGCTACTAATGAAACCTTAGCCGATGTAGTCGGAGTAATCGTACAAGTAGTAGTAGTAGTAGTAGTAGTAGTAAAAGTAATAGTAGTCGTCGTCGTCGTCGTCGTCGTTGCGTTGGTCGTAGTAGTCGTAAGAATGGTCGTATTAGTGGTAGTAGTGGCCGGAGTGAAGGTAGTAGCCGTAGTCGTAGCATTGGTAGTCGTAGCCGTAGTAGTAGTAGCAGTAGTCGTAGTCGTAGTAGTGGTAGACGTAGTCGTTGTATTAGTAGTGGCCGTGGTAGTAAGAATTGTGGTAGAAGTAGTAATAGTAACAGAATTCGCCGTAGTCGCAGTCGTAGTCGTAGTAATACGACTAGTCGTAGTAGGTTTGTAGTAGTTGTAGTAGTAATAGTAGTAGTAGTAGTAGTAGTAGTAGTAGTAGTAGTAGTAGTAGTAGTAGTAGTAGTAGTAGTAGTAGTAGTAGTGGTAGTGGTAGTAGTAATGGTAGTGGTATTAGTAGAAGTAGCAGTCGCAAGAATAATCGTGGCAGTAGTAGTGGTCGTTGCAGTAGCGGTAGTTAAAATAGTAGTAGTAGTAGTAGAAATAATATTAGTAGTAGCGGAGGCGTGCTAAGATCTCCGGTAACTTGTTAACAATATTTCTAGTTCGCGCGCGCGGAGCGGCCCCTGGGGGCCCCCGGACGAAAAGTACCCCGGCAAGGTCCCGAGAGAAGCCCGGGAGAAGCCACCAGACCACTCCAGGGGAGGGTATTTTTCGACACCCCTCACGAGGATCGTGGCCTCCGAGGGGGGAGCCGCAATCGACTACCCCCAAGAGCCCCCCAAGAGGCCCTGGGGGCCTCCATGACGCCGCCAAGGAGCCCCAAGAGACTCCCAAGAGGTCCCCAAGAGGCCCGCAAGAGGCCCTAAAGAGGGCTCCAGGGCCGGCGGCATGAGCGAAGCGATTAAATAATATTAGTAGTAGTAATCGTAGTAGTAGTAGTAGTAGTAGTAGTAGTAGTAGTAGTAGTAGTAGTAGTAGTAGTAGTAGTAGTAGTAGTCGTAGTAGTAGTAGTAGTAGTAGTAGTAGTAATAATAGTAGTACTGGTAACAGTGATAGTAGTAGTAAAAGTGGTAGTAGTCGTCGTCGTCGTCGTAGTAAGGGTGGTGGTGGTGGTAATCGTAGTCGTAGTCGCGATGTAGTAGTAATAATTTATCATCACTATTATCATTATCAATCGTAGTCGTCGCAGTAGAGGTAGTGCTAGTAGTAGTAGTAGTAGTAGTAGTAGTTGTTGTTGTAGTTGCAGTTGTAGTAGTAGTACTAGTAGTAGTAATCGTGCTCGTAGAGGTGGTAGTAGTAGTAGTAGTAGTAGTAGTAGTAGTAGTAGTAGTAGTAGTAGTCGTAGTAGTAGTCGTAGTAGTAGTAGTAGTAGTAATAGTAGTAGTAGTGGTAGTAGTAGTAGTAGTAGTAGTAGTAGTAGTAGTAGTGACAGTAATAGCAGTGGTAGTAGTGGTAGTAGTAGTAGTAGCAGCAGCAGTAATAGTAGTAAAAAAGAATACCCTGGCGACGTACCCAACCCCTGCGCAAAAGCGGGGCGCAAATAGTTCAGGATACTTTATAAGGGGGCGATGACGGAGCGACGGTTACATATGTCTGCAGACGGAATTCGGGAGACTCGCAGGACACTGGCTACAGGAAAAGGGCTTGATAAAGCTGCTGATTTACAATTCCTGAGCACTCCTAGCCACTTCGAAAACGGGGATCACAGCAGGCCTCGAAAGTGGCGACAGGTTCACAGATCGCAGCCCCGCAGGGATGGCGAGGTCTCATTTGAATCGCGCGTGGCCCTCACTGTGCTGGGCCCCCCAGCAGGCCTCGAAAATGGCGACAGTTTCGCAGATCGCAGCCCCCCAGGGATGGCGAGGTCTAATTTGAATCTGCGCGTGGCCCTCACTGTGCTGGGCCCCCCAGCAGGCCTCGAAAATGGCGACAGTTTCGCAGATCGCAGCCCCCCAGGGATGGCGAGGTCTAATTTGAATCTGCGCGTGGCCCTCACTGTGCTGGGCCCCCCAGCAGGCCTCGAAAATGGCGACAGTTTCGCAGATCGCAGCCCCCCAGGGATGGCGAGGTCTAATTTGAATCTGCCCGTGGCCCTCACTGTGCTGGGCCCCCCAGCAGGCCTCGAAAATGGCGACAGTTTCGCAGATCGCAGCCCCCCAGGGATGGCGAGGTCTAATTTGAATCCGCGCGTGGCCCTCACTGTGCTGGGCCCCCCAGCAGGCCTCGAAAATGGCGACAGTTTCGCAGATCGCAGCCCCCCAGGGATGGCGAGGTCTAATTTGAATCCGCGCGTGGCCCTCACTGTGCTGGCCCCCCAGCAGGCCTCGAAAATGGCGACAGTTTCACAGATCGCAGCCCCCCAGGGATGGCGAGGTCTAATTTGAATCCGCCCGTGGCCTCACTGTGCTGGGCCCCCCAGCAGGCCTCGAAAGTGGCGACAGTTTCACAGATCGCAGCCCCCCAGGGATGGCGAGGTCTAATTTGAATCCGCCCGTGGCCCTCACTGTGCTGGGCCCCCCAGCAGGCCTCGAAAATGGCGACAGTTTCGCAGATCGCAGCCCCCCAGGGATGGCGAGGTCTAATTTGAATCCGCGCGTGGCCCTCACTGTGCTGGGCCCCCCAGCAGGCCTCGAAAATGGCGACAGTTTCACAGATCGCAGCCCCCCCCAGGGATGGCGAGGTCTAATTTGAATCCGCGCGTGGCCCTCACTGTGCTGGGCCCCCCAGCAGGCCTCGAAAATGGCGACAGTTTCGCAGATCGCAGCCCCCCAGGGATGGCGAGGTCTAATTTGAATCCGCGCGTGGCCCTCACTGTGCTGGGCCCCCCAGCAAGCCTCGAAAATGGCGACAGTTTCACAGATCGCACCCCCCCAGGGATGGCGAGGTCTAATTTGGATCCGCCCGTGGCCCTCACTGTGCTGGGCCCCCCAGCAGGCCTCGAAAATTGCGACAGTTTCGCAGATCGCAGCCCCCCGCGGGCAAGACAGGAAGAGGCGGGAGGGGAAAAGGAGGAAGGGAGGGAGGAGGGACGCGACCACACTGCTCTATTCAAAACGAATACCCAACCAAGGAGGGTTGGGAATAATTACCCTGGCGACGTACCCAACCCCTGCGCAAAAGCGGGGCGCAAATAGTTTAGGATACTTTATAAGGGGGCGATGACGGAGCGAGGGTTACATATGTCTGCAGACGGAATTCGGGAGACTCGCAGGACACTGGCTACAGGAAAAGGGCTTGATAAAGCTGCTGATTTACAATTCCTGAGCACTCCTAGCCACTTCGAAAACGGGGATCACAGCAGGCCTCGAAAGTGGCGACAGGCTCACAGATCGCAGCCCCGCAGGGATGGCGAGGTCTCATTTGAATCTGCCCGTGGCCCTCACTGTGCTGGGCCCCCCAGCAGGCCTCGAAAATGGCGGCAGTTTCGCAGATCGCAGCCCCCCAGGGATGGCGAGGTCTAATTTGAATCCGCGCGTGGCCCTCATTGCGGAGGAGGGAAAAGGAGAAATAGGAGGTGGAGGAGAAGGAGGAGGAGGAGAGGAAAAAAGGAGGAGGGGGAGGAGGAGAAGCAGGAGGAAGAGGAGGAGAAACGGGAAGGAAGTGGAGGAGGAGAAGGAGGAGAACGACAAGAAGAAGGAGGTAGAGGAGGGGGAGGAGAAGGAGGAGGAGGAGGGGGAGGAGGAGGAGGAAGAAAATGAGGATAACACAAATCCACATTTTCTTCCAGAGGCGATGGTTTCGAGGACCTCGTCGTGGACGGCTTCATGGCCTTCGCGTTCCTCTTTGTGCGCGAGCACGGGCCCGAGAATTTGTTCGTGATCAGCCGGACCAACAACGGCACATGGTACGTGCCCAACCGGCGGACACAGGTGTCAAGGGCTGATTCGAACGGGGACCAAAACGTCAAAGCGCTACCAGCTTGGACACCTTGCTGATAGCGCGTTGACGATTTGGGCTTCATCGCATCGTCCCTTATAGGTTGAGGCTTGGGTCGTCAGATTCATGAGATGGTGCGGGCTGACTCGGCTCGGTTGGGACATCAACACCCAGCTCCACCTGGTCACGGAGACCCACGGCGCCAACGGCAAGGGGCAGGTGGCCGCGCGGCTGGAGCTCAGCCACATGATCGACAACGAGTGCGATTGCCTGTGGTCGTGCCTGGCCGATCCCTGGGGCAACAGCGGCGACTCTCTGCAGGTGAGTTGCCACGTCAACTTACCCACCTCCTTCATTTTTCCCTTGACCAATCCCGAGCAGGTCGCCTTTCGGCGAGGCCGCAGGGGTGGGTCAAGGGAGGATGGGGCACAAGTGGGTCTAGTTGACTTGGCCACAAAGGCGGTCATCCACTTCAAGGCCCTCAAGCCCGCCGGCAGCATCCACAATTGGCCGCCGTGGCTCAAGAAGAGATTCGTGGAGGCACACTCCTGGAAGGAGGTCGCCACGCTGCTGAAGCTTGACTTCAACGATGCGGCCTGGGTCTTCTTGTGCAGGATGTGCCCGCCGGTGCAGGACTTCGAGCACGGCACGCACTGCATCTACAAGACTTTGGAGGAGGACGTGATCTGGCACGTGGGCTCCATCGGCCGCGGGCTGCCAGTCGCCGCTGCGGATGACGACGACGATGCTGATTATCATCATGATGATCCTCCTGGTGGTGCTGACGCACCCACGGCCGCGCCTCCAGCCCCGTCCACGCCGGCTGCTGCGGCTGCTGCGCCGACTACGCCGCCGAGGAACATCTATGTGAAGCCGACCTTCGAGACGCAGTTGGAGGTCATGAGCCTGCACGTCCAGCACATCACCCAGGAGCTCCAGACCCTTCGTGCTCAGGCTGCAGCAGCTGGTGGACAGCAGGCATCGTCGTCGAGCCAGGGGGCAGCGCCCACATCGTCGACCCCTGCTGATGCGGCAGCCGCCGGCGCCGTAGCAACGCCGACCGCCGCAGCGCCAACCGCAGCGCGCGGCCTGAGCGGCCTGAGCCTCGCGCCGCGGCTCCCTGACGGCCCGCCGCCCGCCCATCTGCTCAGCGCTGGCGAGCCAGCGGCGGCGTGGCGCAAGTGGAGGTCTCAAGGTTCGGAGTCGTGGAACGCTCGCAAGATGCAGCGTGCCATAGAACATAGGATGCGCGTCAACAGCGGCGACGAGCCACGCGCCGCAGAGAGGCTCATCCCTCTGCAGATGTGTGCTGGTTGCCAACGCAACCAGCCTGGGGCACTTTGCCCGCGGCACTTGTGCAGGCCTTGCTGTCATCAGCATCCCGAGGGCCCATGTGTACAGCAGCATGGTGGCCCATGAGAGGCAGTCATTTTGGATGCATAAGAGACAACAAGACATTTCATCTTGCAGTAGCTGCTGCTGCTGCCGGGGCTGTCTGTGCTATCAGCCCTGACTGAAGACAAAAAAAACATCATCAAGGGCAGAATCGCAATCAGCGCCAGTCGAAGTGATCAAGAGCCCCCTTGGCTGTCTAGGCGGGTCGTTCCAGTACGGGCTCGGGGTGGAGGATTTGCCATGGAGGGGTTTGGCGAACACAGGCAGGAGTAGCGGCTGCTTCGGCCTTGGCTGCATCGGCCCTTTGGCGGTGTTCCAAAAGATGCGGGCCCCCATAGAGATATTTCTTATTTCCTTGAGTCCCCCAGCTTTCCGCCATCTCTTTCCACCAGCTTCACATCCAGATCTCCTCCCACGTATCCTCAGCCTCAATGCCGTAGCACATTTCGGCTTTGGCTGCTTCGGCCATTCAGTCGAGTTGCAAGTCTCCACCAAGTGAATCTGTACAGACTTCAGATGGGCCCGAAGCGCAACAGCGCCGGCGGCCAGACCGTTCAGAATCCTAAGAAGAAGGCTAAGGCCAAGCCTAAAAGTCACACGTCAACGGAGCCGCTTGCGATAGCACGCTCTCATGCAGAGCAAGCGGCCGCATCGGACAACATGTGTGCAGGGATCGTGGGGCAGATCCACGACGCTATCAGGATCATCGACGATAACCCGATCTTCAAGGAGATCCACCAGATGAACCCGCTGACTATCGCCGAGGGTGGTTCCCAAGAGCCGTACAACTACGGCTCGTTCAACTCGGTCCTCAAGAAGTCCAACACAGACAACAACGGCGCCGTGTCGTACGACTGTGGAGGGAACTTCTTCTGGCAATCGTTTGTTTGGATGGCGAATCACAGGGTCCCCGTGAACATGGGCATGGTCCGTGACATGCAGCGCATGCACTTGTGCCCAAGCTCGCCACCATCCAAGCTGCCATTTACGACCGTCATCGCGGTCGACAACGCCACCGCGGACATTATGGAGAACAAGGGCGGCATGGCGCGGATCAGCAACCCCGAGCCTGTCTTCGCGACCATCTTGAGTCTGGAGTCGGCGATCCGGAACAAGGAGAGCGATGAAGTTTTGATGGCGTGGCGCAAGACGCTGCTTTCGGCCCCCTTCTCATTCGAGGTGGTTTCGCCGGGCGAAGACCGCTACTGGCGCGCGCAGAACATCAGGCAACAAATCATCCAGACCAGATTCATCGCACAGTTGAGCGTACGGCAGTGGATCTACGACGTAGTTGGCCTGAAGTTAGCAATGGAGAAAGAGATGGCAAAGGAGATCGGCAGCGAGAAATTGCACAAGCTATATACTGATAAGATCACTTTCGCTGGCAACCAGAAGCCCTTGAGCGCTTCATTTGTGGACAGCGCTGTGACGGTATACAAACGAGTCTTAAGTCTGTCACAAGCACGGAGGCACCTTGAGTGGGCAGAGGAGAACATGCTGGACAACTACCCTTTCAAGACAATCGGCTCCCTCCAGGCGCTGGTGGACCGCGGGCAGACCGCCTCGCGCATCAGCTGGGCCATCTGGGGGATGACCGACTTGTACCGCATGGACGCTGGGACGTTGACAGAAAATGCAACGCATGTCCTGAGGCCATCAGGTATGTGGGTTGGGAGGGGAGGGGTGGGGGAAAACAACACATTACCCCAGTGCGACCCTACCTAGAAGTTGGAGCCCCTAGGAAAGCAACATTAGTTGCTATGCTATGCTGTGCTATGCCATGCTATGATGCGCTATGCTATGCTATGCTATGCTATGCTGTGCTATGCTATGCTATGCTGCGCTATGATATGCTTTGCTATGCTATGCTATGCTATGCTATGATATGCTAAGCTATGTGATGTCATGCTGAGCTGTGATATGCTAAGCTAGGCTATGCTATGCTATGCTATGCTAAGCTGCGATATGCTATGCTATGCTGCGCTGTGCTATGCTGGGCTGTGCTGCGCTAGACTATGCTATGCTATGATATGCTGCGCTATGCTATGCTATGCTATGCTATGCTGGGCTATGCTATGATATGCTGTGCTGCGCTGTGCTATGCTACCCTCTGCTATGCTATGTTGTGCTCTGGTCTGCTAAAGCTCGGCGAAGCTAAGATGAAGGTAAGCTAAGCTAAGATTAACCTGAGCTAAGATGAAGCTAAGCTAATCTAAGATGAAGTAAGCTAAGCTAAGATGAGATAAGCAACGCGAGGGGACGTAACTGGGGGAACAGCGGGGCGGATGCCAAGGGAACCGCCCGGGGCGTTTTGCTTTGCCCGGCCCCTTTCAGCACAGACGGTAAGAACCCTTCTAGGCAGAGCCTAGGTAGGGAACTCTTGTGAAATAACATGGATCAGGAGAGCATCAACATCGGAGAATTCTCGGGCAAGAAGCTGCAAGATTACAGAGTCAGCTACAGAACTGGCTCCCGCAGTCTGGCATCGCGTCGCAGTTCGCCACCAAGCTGCAAGAAGTGCTGGCCGACTTCGAGAGCGTTCGTAAACACATGACTGCGTATCCTGGCTCACACGCGGACACCACATGGATGGTGAGTGTCCCGCCTTCGGTCGCAGCGGCCGCGGAAATGATTGAGGACATGGTTTACACTGTGAATTGGGACCCTCGGTTTCGTGACGCGATCAAGTCTAAATGCACCGTGACAGATTTCATGGCCTACGACTCCGTCGCGGGAGCCATCAAGGAGGTGACGGACATGATCAGCGTTGAGCGCGCCGCATCTATGAAATGCGTCGAGAATGGTGGGTCAGAGACTGCTGGTACGGCAGAAGGCGCAGCTGTCCCGGCTGCGGGCTCCGCTGTTTCGGCGGCACCTGCGGCAGCAGAGGGCTTCGAGATCCTGGGCACCACCGAGAAGGAGCATTGGCAGCAGCATGTCGACAAGACGGTGAGGACTTACATCAACTTTATCGTGGAGGGCAAGAAATCGCAGGCGGAGATCGAGCTTGCCATCAAGAATTCACCATTGGCCATGATGCAGGGGGACCCTACAGGCTTGGTGCTATATTTTTACGATGTGAAAGCCCATGGAGAACCCCTCACCAGGCCAGAGCTCCGCATCAGCCCGTTGAGGGATGTCGTTTATACCAAGCTCGTCAAGTCGGTACTGAACGCAAGGGCACCCGCCGGTGGACAGCCGCATCGTCGTCCAGGAGAGGTGGCGGTGGTACTTGACGGAGGCCGGCGGGGGAACGCAAACAAGTTGCAGGCGCCTTGGAGGGAGGGTACACGGAAGGACGGCAAGAAGAAGGAGGATGATGACGAAGAGGACCCCGTGGACGATGATGATGAGGAAAAGCCCAACTTCACAGTCTCGAACATCAACTTAATCTACACGGAGAGCTCGCTCCAGGCCCGAAGGCAGAAGGCGCGCGGCTGCATGGCCAGCGTCCAACAGTCCGAGACAGCCATCATGATGTCGAACAACAAGATCAGCATCCCAGAGCGCAGCCGCAAGCATTGGCCAGGATCTACGAGCGGAGACACGATCTATGGGATCGAGGCCCCCGACATCTCCAAGGAATGGAAGATGGCGTGGAAAGACAAAAAAGACGTGCTGGGGAAGAAGCATATGATCCCTGTGGGGGGGAAGACGGAGATGGACAACGTCGATCCTAGTCAGGTCAATGGGGATTGCACATTCACATATGATTAGCCTTGCTTCCGTCGTCGCTCCTCGGCAACGGGGTGAAGGCGGCAGGGTTAGCCATGATGTGCATGAGCAATCGTCGCCAGATCGAGCGCAAGACTGATTCCACGTGGGTGCCTATGTGCTACCATCCGATGCCAGAGAAATTTTATGACGAATTGATATACACTTTCTACGCGAAATCGATCGTCGACCTCACCCCCACTGACGGTAAATTTGCATTCACCGCGCTCAAGCAGAGAGTGGGGTACGTGGGCATCGCATATACAGATGCACATGCAGAGAAGCTGTATGATCGTCTCGGAGAGTTAATGAAAAAGGAGATGCTAAACCCCGCCAGCAAGCTCTGGAACTCATCCTACGCGAAGGCGGTGAAGCCGGACACCAACGCCGAGGAGGAGATTGAGGTCAAATCGAAACCACAGCCCAAGCCCAGGAAGGGAAAGGGTAAGGCCAAGCCCAAGCCCAAGCCGAAGGGCACAGACGATGGGGAAGATGATCTGGGCGTCGACGACCAGGAGGACAAAGCGGGGCCACCAGAAGATCAAGAAGAGCAAGACGATGATGAGGATGTCTGGGATCCGGACGCAGAAAAGTGAGCCGTAGCTTTCCGAGCGCAGACGCAGCACATATGCCATGTCCTAGTAATGCCAGGGGTGCCGAAACAGCCCGAGGGCCGAAGCAGCCCAACAAATCAGCAGGCGTGCCAAAAGATAACACGAATCTACAGAAGCAGCAAGCGTACCCAGACAGCACAAACAGCATGTACTATAATAGGACGTGGCATTCCAGGTCGCTGCGTAAGATATTTCTGCAGCAGCCATCGTAGAACGGTACACGCATGTGGCGTGGCATTTTGGCAAGCTGTTTCGGCTTGAGCTGCGCAAAAAAACTTCCCACCACCTCCTTGCCTCCTTCCATCCGTCCCTGCCTCCCTCCCTCACTCTGAGTCTGAACGGAGGGGGTAATGCATTAAGAGTTCCAGGATGTCCGAGACGCCCTGCCCAAGATCGGCCTCATGCGCATATCGATGTCTGTTGTCTCCCGAGGTGTGTTTGTTACTTCTAGAGGTGTTGGCGCCCAACATGCTGGTGCAGGCTGACCGCAGCTGCGAGAGGAGCAGACTGTTAGTCCGCTCCTCTCGCACCTCACTGCCGGCCCTGAGCTGCGAGTGGTAGGGTTGGCCCGCTACAGGCAGAGCAGACTGTTTGGGGCCACTTGGAAGTCTGCTCAGACATGAGAGGTCTACCCATTGCTCTCGCAGCTCACTGCCGGCACTGAGCTGCGAGAGGAGCAGACTGTTAGTCCGCTCCTCTCGCACCCCTGGGGGGGATCGCAGGTGCAACGACTGCACCGGACCAGTTGCCGAGGCGGGCGCTTACCGTTCAGATGAGGCGGAATTCAACGGCGGCACCGAGCTGCGAGAGCCAGTTCAACGGCGGGCCGAGCTGCGAGAGGCGAAGTTCAACGGCGGCACCGAGCTGCGAGAGGGGGTTCTGCAATATTGCAGAACCCCCTCTCGCAGCTCGGTGCCGCCGTTGAACTGGCTCTCGCAGCTCGGTGCCGCCGTTGAGCGCCTCTCAGCTCGGTGCCGCCGTCGAACTGAGCTTGGTGCCGCGGTTGAGTCTCGCCTCTCGCAGCTCGGTGCCGCCGTTGAACTGGCTCTCGCAGCTCGGTGCCGCCGTTGAAGTGCTCAATTCGGCCCACCCCTTGCCCCCGTTCAATCTGACATGTCAATCTGGCCCCGTGGCGTTGTCCTGTAATGACGTTTGACGCCGACCCAGCGCGTCCCCCAAGACAAGGCTTGTTGTTTAACGCCGAATCAACACGTCCGCACTTGCATGACCCGAAGGAATCATCCCCCACCGTCATCCCTCCTGTATGCCCGCTCAATCTACACGTGACTTCTTCATTTCAACATCACAGATGTCGGCAACGAGGTGCCATTTGTTTCGCAAACATCGGTGAAATCTACATTACCATTGTGATCATCGTTTTCATTCCCTACCTAGGCTCTGCCTAGAAGGGTTCTTACCGTCTGTGCTTAAAGGAGCCGGGCAGTGCAAAACGCCCCGGGCGGTTCCCCTGGCATCCGCCCCGCGGTTCCCCCAGCTACGTCCCCTTAACTTAGCGTTGCTTATCTCATCTTAGCTTAGCTTATGTCATCTTAGATTAGCTTAGTTTCATCTTAGCTCAAGTTTATCTTAGCTTAGCTTACCTTCATCTTAGCTTCGCCGAGCTTTAGCATAGCAGAGCACAGCATAGCAGAGCGTAGCATAGCATAGCGCAGCACAACATATCATAGCATAGCCCGGCATAGCATAGCATAGCGCAACATAGCATAGCATAGCATAGTATAGCGCAGCACAGCGCAGCACAGCATAGCACAGCGCAGCATAGCATAGCATAGCGCAGCTTAGCATAGCATAGCATAGCACAGCATAGCACAGCGCAGCATGGCATAGCATAGCGTAGCATAGCATAGTATAGCATAGTATAGCATAGCGCAGTATAGCATGGCATAACACAGCATATCATAGCGCAGCATAGCATGGCATGGCATGGCATGGCATAGCAAGTAATGCTGCTGTCCTAGGGGCTCCAACTTCTAGGTAGGGTCGCACTGGGGTAATGTCATTGATTAACATTCACAACATCTCAAATACTAATCCGTATACACGTTTTGCTCAAAGCAAAAACGTGTGTGCGTGCGTGTCGGGCGCCTACCCCCACCGCGCTCTGTTACGTCATGGTTCTCAACCGTGCACCCGGCGCAGTTGCCTCTCCAAAGAGGGCAACGCGCCGCCCTCGCTGTCCAAAGACACTGAAGGTCGGGAGCGACTTCTCTGGTATGGACGCCTTCAGTGCCGCCCTCAAGCGGATGAATGTTCCACATGAAGAATTATTCGCTTCTGACACCAACGTGACGTGCAGGAAGGTCTTGCACTATGTCCACAACCCCCACATGATCTACGGGGGAATTGAGGAGAGGGAGGCCGACGCCGACCCCAGCACAGACCTCTACCTGTGGACGCCCCCTTGCCAGGACTTCAGCTCCATCGGCAAAGGGGCTGGTAAGAACGGACCCCAGAGGTCAGGGGCCTTGATGGCCCGTGCCATGAAATACATCAAGATGAAGCAGCCGCGTCTCACGATCATGGAGAACGTGAAGGCCCTAACCCACGCCAAGCATCGCCCCGTCATGGCAGGCATCCTCAAGTTCCTCCAGGACAACAACTACGAGGTCTTCAAGAACGTCCTGAACGCGAAGCACTATGGGCTGCCTCAGGATAGGCGTCGCCTGATCATTGTGGGCATCCGCAAGGACTGCATCAAGCGCCCATTCAGCTGGCCCACCATCAACATGAAGACACCCAGTGTCGCCACAATTCTCGACCGGCAGCTACCGTACGACAAGCCCGGGAGGCTCCCGTCGAAGGCTCGCGAGAAGGAGCGGTGCCAGGCGGCGTACAGGAAGGCGCATGGAGACGGGCATGATGCCAGGAAGGTCAACATCATGGTGGACGTCGACGCGTCAGAGAAATTTCAAACGTTCGGGGTGGACATTTGCAAGACGCTCACGCGCTCGCGGGGCGGTTGCGGGGGGCCATGGGCTTCCACGCGTGGCCGCCGCTTGACCACCCCGGAGCTTCTGAGGCTCCAGGGCTTCAAGCCAGAGGACTGTCCCTACCAGGAGTTGGGCATCTCCGAGCGCCAGGTGGGGCTCATGGCAGGAAACGCCGTGGCCGTCAACATGGCCGGCGTGGTGCTACAGGAGGCCCTGTGGAGCGCCGGTCTCGTGAAGGAGAAGAGCGTGTACCCTCGCATGAGCCACGTGGTGGCGTAATCACCAAATCACCAAATCCGCTCCATCTATGGGGTCCCCGGCGGGCGCGGTGCCAAGCTGTTTCGGCTAACAACCGCTTACTATGATTCATCGCCGCTCTGATTCGGAGCGCATGTGTGGCGAGCTCTCGTATGTTTGGCAGCGGCAACAAAAAACATCACATCATAATCACAATAATCTTCAATATCGTCATTTCAATGTTCGCACCCGTGCCACACTCATGATTGTAGTCTGTACTTCTGCGATTAGTTGGGTTGTGCATCAATTTGTGGCTGCGTTCGGCCATTCCGTTGACTACGTTCTACCAGTTTCTGACTGCGTCATTTCTTCCATCACCTTTGGCAATGTTGGGCAATGCCCTTCAAGACATCGTTGGGATTGGGGGATTCACGGAAGTCCGTTTTGGATGAATGTTTTCTTCCGATATCCCCCTGGGTGCCGTCGGCCAAGGCTTTAAACATGGAATTGCGGCGTCGCTGGAAGATGTATGTAGGGGGGAACTGTAATTGATGTCTTATCACATCTCTCAGTAGCTGGTTCGGCTTCAGGTGCCTTGGCATTCCCAGCCCATGAGCTGATTCGGCTTCATGCTTGGTTGGTGCATGGCATGGTAAAGGGCACCATCCAGACTGCCGCGTGGGAGGCACAAGTCAAATGGGATCGACTGTACCCTGTCTGGTCCAAGAGGGTTCTTCTCCGACCTGGTGACGTGACCAGCGGGACATGGCTCCGCAGCAGGTGGAAGTTCGGAGGCGGGGTCGGTTGTGTTGCATGTCGCATGGCAGGCGTGGGGAGCCCATTCGGAAGGTTTGAAGTAGCGTCCCCGTCAGCCCTCCAATCGGTAAACTTTCAGAAACACCAAAACAACCCCAACCACAAATGAGCTGCTACCGCATACTTATCTGGCCAAGCCTCAGTTTTGACCGGGTGTCCTGATTCGACATATTTTGAAACATTGGCGAATGATATGGTTCGTGGGAGGGCGTTCGATAACTCATCACTCAAACTGAGAACTGCATGGTGTCTCCTGGAGGCCATGCGACAACAAGACCAAAAAGCAATCAAATAATCTACATGGATATCATTGTTCCGTGATGAACGTAATGGAAGGCTTCTGCTCCGCTTTCGCGCAGTGAATGATTCCTTGCAAATCTACTCCGGGACGCTGGGGCTCCAGCGGGACTTTGGCTCGGGTGCGACTCAGATTACTTCAGCCACAAAAAACATTATGTCACGGGCTTGCACAACAATGCATGACCCGCCACATAATACATCGTTTATTGGCAAAGAATCAAAAGTACCAGGGCTTTTGGAGCACCTGTGTAAATCTGTCCTCTGCTTGGCAGTGGACTCTGCTGGTGATGAGACGCTGAGTGCAGAGATCATGCGATGTAGTTCTTTGGCAGGCTCTGTTGCTGGAGTATTGACACCCAACTTGAAATTCGTACTCAAAGATAAGGCTCACGCCTCACGTAGAATCGTCAGCCGCCCCTGGGCGGCTGACCCCTACATCAAGGACGTTGCCATGATGACCGCCCAAGGTCGTGGTGCTATTTCACGGATGGTACACAACAGCGTTCATTTGCGTCAAGTGTTCAACATGTACGTGAAGCAGCATTCCAACGGAGTTGTCAACTCGGCCTGCACCAACATGCGTGCAGCGAAACATCGGTTCGAATCGTTTCAAAAACCAATAGGAAGAACGTGTTTGCACTTGCATGCTTGTATCCGGACGGCCTTGCATATCTGGCT